TATTTTACATAAGTCGATTAATCTTTTAGTTTCAGAATACTTATCTTGACGAGATAGAAAGAAAGATACGGGACCAGATGGCTGAGCCTGAAAACACTGCGGGGATAAGCCGAACACAATCGGTAAGTTCAATAGTTTTTCTCGACTGCCTAATAAACATTTTGGGCCCTAAGAGATTGCTTCGTGTTACATTCTCTGGCATTTCTGCAAAACATGTAAATTGATGCTGAGAGTACTCTTCTGATTTTTTTCTCTAAGTCCTTTGATATATCGTCTAGTCAAGGAATACTGCCTTACAAAGGAAACAAACGCCCCCAATTCCGAGCTTCCAAGCATGCCAAGGTAAGCTAAAAGTTCTGCTTCAGTGAAGTGTGTGCTTCGTTGAATTAATACTTAATTTAATGGCTGAATTCAAAACCAATTTTTGACCAAAGAGATCCCAAACACACGCTTGAACGCTGTGTGTGCCAATATGGACCAGATCTGTGGTTTTTATAAGGATGTAAGCACTTGACGAAAGTAACATCAACCCTCTGACAAACAAGCGAGATCCGGAAAATTAAGCTGTTGACATGGCATGGTAAAATTCGTTATTTAAATTATCTATTGTTTTTCCGCGCTCAGACAACAAAGGGCAAAAAAGAGCTTCAACGAGAAGAATGGATCAGAGAGAAGGTAAATTCTGTTATTCATTGATACAAAACGACTGCAGCCCTTAATAATTTCTATACTATATTCCATGGGCACTCAAATAAATAAGTTATTGAAATAAATAGATTATTAGGTGAAAATTTGTAAATTTGTCAATAATTGTCTTTTTTAATCCAGGAGCGGCAAGAAATAGCTCAGCCCTGTACGAAGGAAATGCCCAAGAAAGGAGATGAAAATAGAGACAGAGCGGTATGTCGCGTGAAGACGAAAATCAGAAGCATCAAAATCTTTCAGCATTATAGCAGTCTGTGAGAAAAAACTAAACAATTTGGTTTTCCTGTTTTTAATCAGGCAAGAGCTGATTTTAATCCACAAGTAAAGCGAGGTGCAACTAAAGAGGAATTTCTCGGTACGTAAAAATTTGTTTTTTTGTTATCTATCATCCCTCGCGCGTTTAGGCACGATTACTGTTGTTACAAAGCTTGAGATTTTATTATTTCTGTGTGAGACATGTTGTTCTCACAGAGTTGACTCGGTTTCCTCGAGGAGCATGAACGGTTTATGGCGAGCTTTTAAAGTGAGGCACCTTTTAAACTTACAGTAGACGTGTACTTCATTCTGGTGAAGCTCAAGAAGCTCCTCCGAGCCACAAAAATTTTTCATCGTAGTAACGGATAGGAACGTTGTGTTTTAAAAGTGAGACGTTTATCACGGGGCATGGCAAATTTTGAACACAATCAATACCATTTAATTTGTATCTAAAATAACACCTACAGTTCTTTGGATGAGGACCAATCATGAAACTGACTATATATACAGATTTTTCTCCTACAGTAAGACCGAAGAAAAAGCAGGGAAGGAGAAAGACCAAGACCTTGAGAGCCAAACGGGAAGGTAATTGGGTGCGGCTACATGATGTTCCCCTTACTTGTGTGATAGATAAAAAAAATCCAAGTTATTGATGGCTTCCTTATCAGTAAAGTCTTGAGGGACTTGGATTATAAAGGAGTTCCTCGTCTCTCGGGTTACGACTAATCTACGCTTTAGCAATTATTCAGTATTCACATGCAGAGATCTCATAATCACAATTAGAAACTAAGATCAATCAAATTAGGAATTCCCCTCTTATGCCCATGCAACTAATTGATTAATTTGTTATTACGCAGACGCTAAGAAGGAGGCTTAAAGATATATTGCCGAGGGGGGGGGGGAGGGGGAGGGGAGAGAAGTTTTTGGTTGTATCACGAAAAGAATTTACCTGATTCCCCATAAGGCTCTGTAATATTCTGGTGATACCCAAACTGGCAGTCAATTAGCAGTCACTTTTTATGTTTTCTCTTTTATACTCCGATTCCCCCCCGGGCGATAAGTTCTGGTCCCTTAAAAGCTGTAAAATGCGAGTGTGTTTGTGTTAAGTTATAAATCACCGTCTTAGCTTTAAGACTGCATACGCAAGTACGAAGTGTATATAAATTATATTCTTCATGCTTTAAATGAAATTTTCATGGAAAATCATGAGCGCATACGTATACGAAGATATGCATTCATTTAACTTTTGCGTCCATGTCGTGACTAGCTGATGGTGATGATGAATCCGACACAGACAGTGTCTGTAGCACCCGCACTTGCCCTGAAAAACTGGACTACACGATGAGTACCGTAAAATCTACATCAAAGGTGCCAAGTATCGGCCAGTCAACTTCCAAAGGCAAACACCAGAAACAGAAACCACCACCTGGGGTACAGCAGCCCCCTGTTGGTTCAACGTCTCCACAAATGAAAAAACCAGTTGCTAAAGTTAAACCCTTTACTGAGGGCGTTAGAGAGAAAGCTGGAGCAAGTGCAAGTGTAAGAGGCTACGGAATTCGTAAAAGACCACGTCTTGTCTTTGGCGCCTACCGCCTCTGCAAGTACTACCGCCTTCAGCAGCCTTGTTTCCAAGGGGAACGCTGTTCCTATGCACACAGTGAAGAAGAACGAAAAGCATGGGAAGCAGAAAGGAAGAGAGGTAGGCTACTAATTATGGCAAACAAAGGGCTTTTGCTTCCTCGATTTAAAGGATTCCAATCAGCCACGTCCCATTTTTTCTTACTTACGGGATACTATGAATGTGATCTTATGATAATCGGCGCAGAGCCCTTGCCAATCATTTAGGAGTGCTAGTAATGTAACGGTAAGGACGAAAATTGAATATTCACTTGCAACGATTCAAGAAGATTGAAAACCGCTGGTAAGAAAATATTATGATGGTGCGAATACTGGATCATCACGTCATTATGTGCGATGCATTATTTTTCATCAGGATCTTTTAAGGAGTGTAGGATGTACAATTGGCCATTCTTGGTAAATTTGTAGGTGAAATAAACTTATTTCCACTAAGTTTATCGTATTTCAGATATTTGTGCAGTCCCGACGAAACACAAAGAATTGATGACCAAAAAACCTTACATGTCACTCGATGAGTGGCGCCAAGCTTTCAAGGGACAGGTTCGAGCACCACTACGAATGCCACCAAAAGGTGGACGGTTTAGAATATGTGCTGGGTAAGTCATGCAGTTTGTTCATGGTACAGGCTATCGGTCGTCATAGTGTATGCGTTTCAGATCGTATATTAATAAATAAAAAAAAAGAAAGAAGCTCTTAAACAAGGTTTACTTTTAATTCTTAGGTGGACGAAAGGAGTTTGTAAATTGAGAAAAGGATGTACTTTTGCACACGGCCCACAGGAACTCGAAGCTTGGAATAAACATGTAAAAATGATGGAAAATGAGATGGAAACTAAGAACGAGGAGGAAAAGGAAAATGAACAGAAAAAAGACGAAAATGAAAATGCAATAAAGACCATCACCCGTTCACCGATAAAAGATGATCGACCAGTTCCCACTTACAAGGTTAGATCTGTAGTGTGTCATATTTCGTGTTAGCCTCACGACAGTTCAGATTTAGCTAAATCCATCTTCATCTCTCAGTTGAAGGATCTCGTCACCAGTCTTTCAGGAGTGTCAGTTGCGTGTGACCCAAGTGTTCAAAATGTGTCATTACAAGTTCCATTGGACAGTGAAGGAGAAAAATCTTTTAGCTGGACTGTCCGACTATCTTATGAGGTAAGAGAGAGGGAAGTTTGGTCGTGAGGTATATTCTAAGGGACTCATCACTTATTTGTTTTGAATAACCTGGAGAAAGTATTAGAATTTGAAATGAAATTCCGAGAACCAATGGAACGTAACACAAGTAGGGCCAACAAGACGCGACAGGAATGTATCACAGGTGCAAAAATAACACAAAAAATATCAGCATTATGATTTATGACGTAGGACTAAAGGTGGTGACATTATCGCCATCATTACAATCATGGTGAACAACAGGGACAAAAATAAAAAACAAAACCAAAACTATAAATGAGACTAAAATTGTAGTCGCTGTTGGAAATGATGGAGGAGGATGATTGCTTCCGAAACCCTTTGCTCCATTATTCTTACAGTTTGATTCATGTCTATCCAAATTGGTTATGGCAATAAAATCAGTTTAGAATCTAAATGACATCGTCGTAATAAGTCACCAAACTTTCACGAATAGCGAGCTAAGAAATGCATAATCAACATTTGGAAAAATTATCTTTTTTTGGATTTAAAGGATTACTCATGGGCTTTCCTCAGCTTTTAATTAGTCTCTTAGCACATATGTTTTCTCAATTCTTATTTAGTCCACTGAGACCGGGCATCTGCAGGATATTGCACTATTATGGAAATTCCCCAGTTGTTACAGTTTCACCAGTGTTAAAATTCAATACTCCAAAGGCCCACTTACAGTGGAGGACGCTGTAGAGAGAGTTGACGACTGTCATTATCATGTACCACCATACCTACGTGCGTTGGACAGCAACTGTGAAGTGGAGGTAGCGCTTTCATTCTCTACATTTGTCTTTGGAAACTTCAGACAATATTTGGTGTTCGATTTTGGCCAAGAGAGTCCCCTTGCCTTAGAATTTTGTGTCGAAATCGGCAGTCAAGAATTCCTGAGAGAACTGAGCGAGGAGAAGACAAAGCTTGCTTTGGGTGGGCCTCTGTGGGATGAAAGTTACTGGAAAATTGTCCCTTTTGAGTGCAAAACCTCTTCAGTGTTCAAGAATGATAATTTGACAGACTTGTACAAGTTGCCAGTAGATAGAGTGGATGATGTTGTGCCCTGTCCTCTTCTTGACGAATCACAAGGTCTGAGCGAGAAAAATTACAAAGACATCATGCATCAGTTGTTATTTGTAGAGGAGTTTTATATTCGCAAACAAGTTGCCAGGTTAGATTTAAAAAATTCTGCTTTAACAGTTTTTTCGTGACATGAAATTATCATCTGCTCTATATGTAATTGGATATAAATCAATTACTATCAATTGCTGTACTTTAGAATTCCTACGTAAATGCGGGCTGAATGAATTTAAATGAAGTCCCGATCAAATTTCCCTGTTATTTGTTAGAAATAATGCAGTGTTCTGGGAATGCTATGTTTCCCTTTTACATCAATATTGGATATTTTCATTCTCTTATGTTTTCAATTTTTCTCCACGGGCTCAATGATCCCTGACACAACCGATGAGAATGAGCTGTTTCAATTAAACTGTTTCAGATTCAATATGGAAGGAGCCCATTTACACGCTGCATCACTGATTGTTAAGAAAGATGAAGTCCTGTGCGCCAACGAAGGTTGGCTGTACGGTTCGTTCCACGTGTTGCGCCCTATAACACCCGATGACGCGGATGGGCGACTCCTACTCAGGAATCTGTTCGGGAGCGCTGGGTCAGTGTTAATAGCAAAAAGCCAGTGCTCTCAATCGATGGTTTATGAAGCTTTAGTGGACTCGGTGGAGGAAAGTCGTGTCATAGTAAAGCTATCTGTACGGTGTTGCGAAGATCTAGGGCTGACAAACAACAGTGAAACCATTGTGGACGTTCAGTTCCGGATCAATCGACTTCGACTTTGTGAGATGCACGACAACATCGACAGACTGGGACTAGAGCACATCAGAATAGTGTTTCCCGCCTTTGGCGAGGTCGCCTTGGAAAATAACGTAAGGTTAATTCGCTGTTTGATTCACCATACAAAAGTAGCTTCACTTTTCAATACCAGTGAGAAAACCTTTATCCTTATTAAACGGCAAGGTAGTCTTTATGGAAATAAGAACATTCTGATTAGTTCTTACTTGCACTGTACTGACCGTTTCCACGGAAACTGTCATAAGCTGTGCATTTTCGTTTGCGAAAGCCGCCAAATTTAAAATAACCATGATTGGTTCGACTGCCACATAATAAACTACTGACTAATCTCACTTGCTCGACGTGGGGAGTATTGGCCCGGGTCGTTTCTGTACTTATCTTGCTTCGCTCGGTCCGTCCTGCCACGACCTAGGCCATTCTCCCCCTGTGCGGCCCTCACGCTGGGTTAACAGAAAGTTAATATTTTTATCAACGCATTAACACTCCGAAGCAAAACTTTTCTAATTATATCGTGCTTTGAAAAAAAAAAAAAAATTTCCCGCGGCGAAGGCCTCTTTGTCATTTGAGTGCTCGTGAAATTGTGACTCGGGGTCGACTGATATTTTGAAAATTACCAAGTTTAGGAAACTTAAAAGTGCACTGACCAAACTTTTGTTTCGTGTGATTTTTTCCAGGTTACTATCTTGCCATGGATTCTCGATCCCAGCTTAAACGATGATCAAAAAGAGGTTATCAAGAAAATAGCTTCGCCATCTAGCAATTCACCTCCTTTGGTGGTGTTTGGTCCATTTGGAACAGGGAAAACTTTCACTCTGAATCAAGCTGTTCGACAAATTGCCTTAGACTGCAACAACCGCGTACTCATCTGCACCCATTCAAACAGTGCGGCAGACATACACGTAGAGTTATTGGACGAATACCTCCGTAATAATGGAATACTGGCTTGCAGACCCCTGAGGATTTACACACCGTTGCGGAAGTTATCAACTGTCTCTGCCATGGTGAAGGAGTACTGCCTCATAACAGACAGAGTCTTTCGACTCCCAACTCGTGATGACGTGTTACGTCACCGAGTCATAATAACAACTTTGGGAATGTCACGAGCTCTGTTTGATATGGACCTACATCGGGGAATTTTTTCTCACATCTTAATCGATGAAGCGGCGCAGGCGCTGGAGACGGAAACGTTAGCCCCAATTACACTAGCGGGTTACAATACGAAAGTGGTTTTCACTGGGGATCACATGCAGGTTCGTGAAGCTGTCCTCATTTCTGGACTCTCTATGGATGTAATAGGTAATGAAAGAGCTGGTATGGTGTAGCACCGAGTACCAAGGGAAAAGAAACATGTCGACTGTGATATAGTATTTCACAATTTATGTAGAGATAGGGTACCCATTTATCAAAGGAAATGTTGTAAGCCATTTGAGTTGAAATCTGGAGACGTAAAACTGTTCTCTATTACCTTCCTCGTTAGATGAGCCCTGACGTACTCTCTCCTCAAGCAAAGAAGTGGGGATTCCAGATGTCCTTACAAGAGAGGCTTTTCTACGACTACGACAGACGAAAAAAGGAAGCAAAGCAAGATCCCAATGTCATCTATTTGACAACGAACTACCGCTCAAACGAGCAAATTCTTCAATTCTCCTCCGACATGTTTTACGGCCAACTTTCCTGTGGTAGTAATCAACCCCTTCACCCTTGGTTGGGTCCATTGGTATTTTATTCCGCTTTTGGCGAAGAGGAGATGGCGGAGAACCATTCGTCCCACCGCAATTTGGCTGAGGTGAACGAGGTGGTGAAGCGAGTCAAAGAGCTCATGGACTGCTGGCCTCAACAATGGGGTTCAATACCGGATCCTAAACAAGTTGCTGTAGTTTCATCAGAGCGTTATCAGGTACAAAGAAAAAAATCAAAACCTATTCTTGGAACTACACTGTATTGTCAACCCTCCTCTATCAGACTCTGAGTTCTCTTGTTGGTAATAGTCCTTGACACATAAACACACAAGATCTTTGATTTCTTACAAACATTCACCTCTCACTTTCCCCGATCAACAATAACTTGTTAAGTTCTGTGAATATTTATTTCTCCAATGTTATGCAGTAATACATAATTTTTTCTTCTGTAGGTAAAAACGATTCGCGATGGCCTTAGAAAAATTGATCTTGGTGAAGTTGACGTGGAAACCATTGAAAATGTGCAAGGTTTGTAAATTACTTGAAGGAATTCCATTGATTTAGGTCTTTAAATTGAAAATATTTTTACTTTAAGATTTCACTCCAAGGAAATACTGGTACGGAGCTTTTTCTTGCAATAATTCGAAATTGTCTGGCAGACAGGTAAGAGGAAACTGTCAAACAGAAAATCTTCCCTGGAAAAACATCAAATTCTTATAGGTGATTTAAGAGAGATGAAAATTTCAAACATTTTAAATTCATGCTGTCGACAATCATTCTTCAGTCTTAAAATATCGTGAATTGTTCCTCCAGGAAAACAGTTCCGTGCTCTCTTTGTCAGTACAGTGCGAACCAATCACTTTTGTAACGAGTCCAATGCGTGGGTGGATAATGAAAGTGACAGGCCTTACCTTTCATTTCTCACGGATCCTAAGCTTTTAAACACTGCACTTACCCGTGCCCAGTCTCTCATCGCCGTGGTTGGCGATCCTTTTTCACTGAGGACTATTGGAGATTGCCAGGGACTTTGGGAAGAGTTTATTAAGAGATGCAGTGCCAGTGGAAACCTCTTTGGAATAGAGTGCAGTGAACTTGAAGAAAGTATTTCTCAAACGGGACTCAATGTCAACGCCAGTGAATTTGTCCCACGACTCGCCAGCCACACAAGTCCCCAACCTGATAACGAATCCCCAAACCACCAGATGGCAGCCTTAGACGATGTGAAATTCAATGCATCTCATTCACCTCCACAGATAAACGCACCAGAGCATACCATTGATAATGAAACTTCTTTTCCCAAGGAAATGATGCACGAGAATGTACACACCACTAGGGCTGATAGGATTCTAGACTATTGCGCCGAGGATTCTAAGCATGAACTACTGAAAACGTCATCTCCAAACGAAGAAGACGACAGCGAATTTGAAAGTACTTCAGACTCTGGAGATGTGTGCGACAGACTGATTGGGAGTGACGATAATGAAAATGGTGATTTTGTAGAATATGGAAATGTGCCGGATGAAACTGTTCCCCCAAAGTACATGGATGACATCACTCTTGCCATCGAGGCTAAATGTGTGGAAAATGAGAAGAAACGAAAATCGAAAGAAGAAAAGATGCAACAGTTGGAAAGGGAACAGATGAGGCTCTTCGCTTCAACCAACCACAAAGTCGCCGAAGATATTGACGATGAAAGTGTTCACCGCGCTTTTGTTTCTAACAACGCAAGAACCGATATACGTCATGAAGACTTCACGGTCATAAAAAGGAAAGGCAAAACGCAAATTGTTTGGAGAAATCCTAGGATTGAATATAGTGAACGTACAAAAAGGCTTATCAGTCAGGCCAAATTTAACGATCATGAGAGTCTCCAGGCTGAGTGTCTTGAACGTTTACTGAAAGAGGAGCCCGAGAAGTACTGCCGATGTAGACTTCGCATAAGCTTCGAGAAATCCAGAGTATCCTATGGAGAGATTCAAGATGTCAAGAGTGAAGATATCATGATTGAGGGAAGGAGCACTCGTCAGAGATTTGATGGAGATATCGTGGCGGTAGAACTTAAGAAGGAGTCCTCGGACGAATCGCCTTTCCAGCTGGGGAGAATCAAGGGAAAAATAAAAGGTAGACTATATTGCCCGATGAACCCTCGTGAACGCCAATTTGTGTGCTCGATCTCCAGGACAAACCCTTGGTTGATGTTCCCCATTAATAAATCAATGACACCCATTGCAAACTTAAAAGGAAGCTCTTGCGAAGTAATTCCTATTTACAAGAAAGAACAGCCAGGAGAAGGAGAAAGAGCAGTACAGATAAAAGAGATTTCAAAAAAAGACGCACTCAGCGGAAAATTTCTTTTTGTGGTTCAATATTTGCAGTGGAGGAAAGATTTCCCATACCCACTCGGTATTGCCACTAAGACTATTAGAAAAGGAAGTGATCTTCGAAGTGCTTACGGTGTACTTGATGCCGAATACCAGTTAAAGAGATCATTTAAAAAGGAGGTCTCCAGGGAGGCGGCAAGATTCCAAGATGAGTGGCAGGCAGTCCTTGAGCGTGAAAAACAGCATCGCCAACTGGTGTTAAACGCATTCACAATTGACCCTCCCGGAAGTGAAGCTCTCGATGATGCCTTGACTATTGAAAAGCTTGAAAATGGTTTGTGCAGAGTAGGAGTACACATTGCTGACGTGTCCTATTTTGTGAGAAGAGGAAGTGGTATCGACCTTGAAGCAAAGAAGAGGGGTACCTCCTACTTCCCTGGTCATAGCCATGGAGATGTTTTGATGCTCCCGAAAGAGCTAAGCCACCATCTCTGCAGTCTGCTGCCAAACGAAGAACGACTTGCCGTGTCTCTTTATCTAGATTTGAACCAGGATGGTAATGTTCATGGGATCGAGGACCTCGATCATGGTGGTCGCATGCAGAGGAGAGAGCTTAATTTTGCGCGTACAATTGTAAGATCACAATGTCGTTTGACTTACAACGAGGCACAAGCAATCATTATGAGCCCAGACAAAGTTCCAAACAACCCTTACAGTGATGGGAAAGTAGCAACAAAGATCAAAGAAAGCATACGCATGCTCAGCATGTTGGCCCAAAAGAGAAGAAAACTGCGTCTTCGTGGCGGATCTTTCTATCGTTTTGACGATGCAAACCGAGCTGAAGACTTCGAGGCTCATGAGCTGGTTGAGGAAATGATGATCCTGGCTAATGAGTCTGTAGCCAGATATCTCATTATCGATCAAAGAGGTGGAGAGTCATTACCTTTGAGGATTCAACTCCCCCCCAAGACTCACAAACTGAATGAATGGAAAGAGCGGTTTGGAGGTTGTGCCCAGCTTTCACTCTCTCTGAGTGAATACTCAAGTCGAGATCAGCTTTGTGTGGAAAACTTCATTCTACCAAAGTGTACTTGGAATGAAATTAGTTCTGCACGCCAAAAAGACGATGACAGAAAGCTCACCCATCTAATTTGCAATGATCATATCTATCCGCAACTCGCAATCGCACGTTCATTTTTAAGAGGTCTCCAACGAAAAGCAGAGGATTTAAAAGCGGCTGAGGTTCCACCAGATAACAGAGTTCACTGGTCTTTAAAACTAAAGGAATACACTCGATTCACCTCCCCAATTCGTCGTTACCTTGATATCGAAGTTCATCGGCTGTTACTAGGGGAAGCAGACCAAAACGCTGAGGCTGAAGACATCTCTGTGCTTTTTCGCCGTTGCTCGTTTCTATCTGAGAGAGCAAGTAGGTTTGAGAAAGAATGTAGTCAGGTTCAATTTGCTGCGAGTCTCAGGAAAGAGAGCTGCGAGACGCCTGCTGTCATTGAAGTCCTCTCGAGAGATTTTTTTCAGCTACAGCTTCTATCTGGAGCGAATTGCTATCTGCCTTCAGGACAGAGGAGAATCCAGATCAGTCACCTGGGACCAATTAAACAACCAGAGATGGATGAATCATTGCAATGCCTTGAACTTGAGTGGAAACTCAGAATTTATGATGCTTCGTCTGAAACTATCCAGCAAGCGCTGGAGTGTAAGACTCAGGAGCAACGTGAGGAACATTTTTGCAAAGATAGAGTCAAGGTTACGTTAGAAGTAAGCTCAGATGGTTCAAGTCTTCTGAATTACAGCATTCCGAGCCAACTTTGGTTGGATGTCTCAAACGCCGTCGAAAACAACAACAAAGAAAAGTTGGAGGAGTGTTTAGCAAAGGTTGATGCAACAATAGGAGAGATAGAAACTCAGGCCAGAGCTCTAAACTTTAATTACGAAAACTATGATGTGGTAAAAAATGATGACGATGACAACGATGACAATGACGATAACGAAGATAAAGACGACGATGACGAAGATAATGACGACGACGATGACGAAGATAATGACGACGACGATGACGAAGATAATGACGACGGCGATGACGAAGATAATGACGACGACGACGATGACGATGACCAAGATAAAGACGACGACGAAGATGATGGTGACGATATGCATTTTCAAAAAGTGTCCTTGATTTTAAAGGTTTCTGACACTGTCCACATACAACTAGCTGTAAACGAAGTTAGAGGTCTGATGTCACCAGAGATTCAGCTTTTCAAGTTGGCCCCAGGAATGGACGTTTGCCTCGAGCATAGGAAACGTCCAGATAGATGCTTTGTAGAACTTGCCTCAGATCACTCATCACAGCCAAAGTACAAGGATATTAGAAGGTATATCAAAGCCTGGGAACCCGTACTGGCAATGGAGGCCGCCACTCAGGCGATAACGAATGACGATGTTATCATTCTGCAAAATCTCACGGTGAAATGGAGAGAAAATGACAAAGAAATTAACGGCGAGTTTCTGCTTGAGAAGTCGTTTTGTACAACAAGATGCATCAACATTTCAGATGGTGATTACGCCTGTGCAAAAGTTTGGTGCCCAGTGTCAGTGCAAGCTGAGGGATCTGATACCTCAAAATCTATTGCTGCCAATACCCTTTGGAAAACTGACAAAGAGGTCGAAGAGGAAGAATTCTCTGATAGTGATGATGACTCAAGCTTCTATACAGCAAGCGAAGGAGAAGATGAACTGGAAAGTTCCAAGTTTAAAGGTGGAAAAGGGGAACACTTTGTTTGGGTTGGCCACTGTTCGATCACGAAAAAGAAGGATCGTGTGACGCTTCACCTGAAACAACAGTCCATACACATTCCCTCAGGGCTTCTGGATGGAGATGGGTGTATCTGTACCTTGGAAATAATAAAGCTGGCCATCAATCACAGGTGACTGTTTGTCAAGGTAGATTAAAATACATCACATTTATTGTCTTGACTAGTCCTCCTGTCAAACATTGGACGAGACAGCTTTTAAGAAGGAGAATGTATTGGAAAACTTGTCGAAAGCGAATTTTTGTTTACTATTGGGATGAAATTTATTACGAGCTTAAGGAAAACTTTACTCCAGTACAAGTTTTTGGATAAGTGCCCTGATACTCTTGTTTCCCAGTGTAAAATTTTTCTCCTGATAAGTTTAAGTGTCGAAGATCTCTTAGTTTGAATGCTACGGTACCCTAGTACTTGGGATCTTGCAGGTTTCTTTACGGTTAGAAAATTACAACTACTAGTCACTAATCAAAACACTTATGCTGTATTTCAGGCGAATGATGAACGCTTTGAAAAAACTGGAAAAAAAGGGAAAGGAAGACCTAGTTCACGACCTCTGCCTTGGAAAAAAAGAACAGCTGGGTGGTACGTTTTATTTACCAATTTAGTGTCCTAAATCCAAAAGGGACCTACAGCTTACACAGTTAGTTACTTTACTAGGGGGTGGGGTATTTGAACGTAATAACTAAACAATAGCTGGTTCCTCGCGATGACTCGAATTATTCTTCAGGTCTTGGCCATCTGCTTCGTTTCCTTCTCCCCCGTCCCTGCGACAAGTGATCCACGACGGCTCCGTTTTTCTCTCCATCAATCATAAGGGTTGCTTTTATTTAGCTTTAACCTGATTACTGTCATTCATGCAAATCCTCCGGTCGGGAGTGTAAGAAAGTTCGCCTTGCTCAGTTGCCAAGTTGCACGTCGTCGTTTCAGTAATAAGGGAGTTATCCCTTTGAAAAACATTCAGCCTGGAGGACCAGTGGATTGCGCTTTGCTTTACCCTTACCTCTCGCCCCTGACATGGGTGCGATCCTAACATGACCATAGGAGGTCCGTGCGTCAAAGCTCTCGGACGCGTTGGGACACCAAAGCATCCTCAACACATACGTACTGCGCGCCTATTAAGATTCTACGACGAGAATATTTGTATGAGCCTTTCGCCTTGCGTAAAAAACATCCGGATTCCCTGCGTTAACTGGATTAGCCTTATACAAAAACATATTTCAGAGGAATAATTGAATGATTACACATTATTAGATTTTACTGCAATGTAAACCTCAGCCGAAGTGTGTTAATAGCCATTCAAATTAGAGAAGTCTCTAACTTACAACTGTAAATTATTAAGAGATCATTACCTGATCATTTTTTCACATCGTTTGAACGCAGAAACTTCCAGAAAACAACCACCAAGCGAAATCCTATCTATTGTTGGCATGAGTAAAGAGCAACCTGAAAAAGCTTCAGATCTAAACAGGGACCAGCTTCAGGCAGTTAAAAGAGCTCTACGAAGCCGCTTTACTTTAATTCAAGGACCTCCCGGTAAATATGCCCCATGGTACCTATTCAATGTTTGGCAAAAGCTTAGCTATAGTTGTTAAAAGTATTAATTACAGTAGGGGAACCATCAAATGTCCAAAAGAAGAAAAAGTCGGGAACAAAACTTGGGATAAAATCTACATCGTGAAAGACAGCAAATCAAGGTCTATGTCGCAGAATGATAACACAGCCTATGCCTTTTATGTAGTTTCGTGTCCTAAAGCATTCTTATTTTCTTATTTTCCTATTTTCCACGACATTATTGTAGTATATAGTATTGCCCACTTGTGAAAATTAATGCAATTGATGGAATACACTCGGGACCTACGGATTTGCATGTACATACAAAGCGTGTATTTAATTTATTCTGAGAGTTCTTTTCGGTTAAGAGTAAGAGTATAACGGACGTGAATAAACGGCTTAACTTAACCTCGGTGTACTACAATTATAATTTTCGCTAGGAACTGGAAAGACCAGAACAGGAGTGCATATCGCCTACTGGTTCAATGACGTAAATGAAAGAGATGAAAAGGAGAATGCTACTGTCCTCTACTGTGGGCCCTCAAACAGATCCGTAGATGTTGTGGCAGGTGAGAGGAACAAAGTATGTGAGAGTAGCACACGCGCGGCAAAGTAGGGGAGGGACCAATGCCCCATTCCCTGACCGCCCACAAAAAATGGGGAAGCCCTGCCTTGTACTCTTTTGACCAATGAGGATCGAACGACGGAAGGTAACAGACATTGAGCAGTTTCCCACTTATGCGACAGTGTCATCTACCGACTCCAGTAGACCACCATTGTGAAGTTATGTGATGCTAGACATTAAGTATTTTTTAGCAAATATTTTCCACTTTAAGAGGAGAGGCATAGAAATAATTCAGACCGTACTACTTGGGTACTGCACACGCCTAATCGATTAAGTCTTAAATCTGAAGGGAAGCTATGAATGATTTTAGAATTCTGTAATGGAACTCCTGGTTACTCCTATCTGAATACCTTTATGTTCATGGCATTGAAGATGTGTTATTGCGAAGTAAAAAATAGGGGTATTGGAACCAGAGTCGTTTTCGATTCGTATGGGATTTGAGCTTCTTCGAGAGGTCCAGTGTGAATGTGTGAAGTAAGGGATGTACTTTTAATGAGTAATTTTCACTGAAACATGCATGCTTTTTTTTGTTGAGCGCTTTATATACTTAAATACTGCTTTCTCTTGAAGAGTATCTGATAAAGATCAAAGGCCTTAAATCAAAGATCCTTCGAGTATACGGCAAAGTCATCGAGCAAAAAATATTTCCACTACCGAATGAAGTGAAATCATCTCGAACGATTGGCAGCAAAGAAGAGATGAGAGTACCTAAGAAACTGAGAGGCATCGCATTGCATCACGTTATCAGACGGAGGAAAAAGGGAAAGGGAAAAAAGTCGCCGTTTGCCAAAGACCTAAGAAAGTTTGAAAAGATGTTTGCCAAAAAGAAGAAAAAGAAGCAAGTTGTGGATGACGCAACAGTCTCGAAATATCGTCAGGTTTGAAGAAATCGAAATCAATAACGGTACCAAAGGTTACAATTTTAGCTCCCATAAATCCGGGGTTTTTCAGAGTCACTGTTGGGTTTTTCAAACTTTTCCGTGCATTTTATGATTTTATATACAGACAAGAAGATAGATCTTTTTTCGATTGGACATTTCGTTAATTGAACCAAGTACAATATTCAGTACAGAAACTGACGTCTGAATTCGACAAATTAGTGTTTTTGATAGGCAAAAAATCTTTCTGAACTTATGAAACATGCAAGTGAGAAATTAGTTAAGCGTACTCGATAAATAAACTTTTTATTATTTCAATTATAGCTGATAAAGGAAGCTGAGCAATGGGCAATTAAGAAATTTGGACGCATTGTCCTTTGTACCTGTTCTGCGGCTGGAAGCAAAAGGATGGAGCAAGTCTGTGGGAACGTCATTCAGTGCATTGTGGACGAATGCGGAATGTGTCTGGAGCCAGAAACTCTCATTCCAATTGTGAGTTCAGAATCGGCTGAACAAGTCGTTCTAATCGGAGACCATAAGCAACTTCAGCCAGTTGTAAAGAACAGAGTGGCGAAGTCACTTGGACTGAGTACTTCCATGTTTGAGCGATATGCCAGTCGGGCTGTTATGCTTAAGGAGCAGTACAGAATGGTAAGACGTTGAAAGCGTAAGTGTCACGAATATTTGACGAAACTTTGTTGGAAGACGCTTCATAGAGATCTGCATATCCTCGTAAAGAAACCCCTCAGTGGGAAGAGGGGTGTGGGGGGTTTTTCAGACTGAGGGCTTTGCTGAAAACTTCTTGAGATCTTAGATGTGAGTCATCACCATGCATCTTAACTTTTGGTCAGCCTCAAGGAATAACGTTTACGGTATGCACTTCTTTGGTTGAAAATTGGCCTTACCACAATCGAGCTCTAACCTTAACAACGATCAATATTTTGCCTTAAACTCATCATAATACACAATTTTAATGAAGCTACTTGCAAACAAATTTTGTCTTTCAGCATCCAGATATTTGTGAATTCCCTTCCAGGCAGTTTTATGATGGAAAATTAGTCACGTCAAAGTGTGTCATAGACAGACGTACCGCATACGGCAGGAGTTTTTCAAATTTCTGGCCGTCGCATAAAGGTGACAGTTACACACCCCTTGTGTTTTGTCACGTGGTCGGCGAGGAGGAGGAGCTTGTAGTGACAACTGAAGAAGGCCATGAACGATCAAAGAGTAACATGAAGGAGAAAGACAAAGTGGTATGTTAATAACGATGATGACTATGATAAAAGGAACTTCTTCATGGCCTGGCGTCGTAAAGTTACAGTCGTATAGTTATAATCCGTATTAATCTTCTCAACCATCTTCTTTCCTTTTTCAGTTTATGCTTATCTCTATCAATTTGTATTACATTACCAACTATTATTTCATGGTTTCCTAAGTAAGCACAGACGTTTTTTGAGACGCAGAATATCTCAAAGAGAATCCAACTACTTCTTTCACGCTTTCACTCCAACCAATTAACTGTATACAGCCGCTCTTTTGCTATTGTAACCTAAAGCTTTTGAATAATAATCCAAGATACGCGCCAGGGAAAGGAACTTTTAAACTCCAGCTGCCTTATGCATCTCAAAATCGTGTGTCCCTAACAAGCTCCCTCATAAAGACAATTATCCGAAAAGTCAGAAATGACTTAAAAACAAATATAGTGATAACTAAAGAGATAAAAATTCTCTCGGCTCAGTCGAAAAAGAATGAGCAGTTTTGAAAAAGGAAATTGCAAAAGAGTCGAATTTTACGTAGAGAACACGAGTGTACGTTTTCATTTTAGGTCGCCGTGGTCAAGAAATTGCTTAAAACTGGCGTGAAACTAAGAGAAAATGACGAGTCAAGAGTCAGAGAAGATCAAGTTCTTGTTCTCAGCCCATACCGCGCGCAGTGCCATGTTATTCGACAAGATCTCATACACGAGGGTTTAACCAAAGTGAACGTAACTTCAATTGTTAAAAGCCAAGGTAAACCGGGATAATAAGTAATAGATAAGAGTACATGAATGGCTGCTAAGGGAATTAAATCAACTACAACGAGAAATCGGCCATCAGTACACCGAAAAGAGTGACAAAGCAATCAAATAGAATACACCATTAAAGGAGTGCAAGGCGCATTAAAAACAGTCAAACAGAGCCCCGGAAAAACAGTGCACAAGAAACTTAGGAAACCATCAGCCAGGACGTTTGTCGTGGAATCCACACAGGCCACTAAGTAGCTGGTCAACCAATCAGAAAGGCTTGCCTGATATATCGCTAGTGTAGATTGTTGATGATAGTGATAATAACAACAATAATGATGACGACGATGAAAACTACAACAACGAAGAGGATAATGATTATAAGTGAAAGTTAACTAACGATCTACTTTGCTCTATTTTCAGGGAGTGAAAATGAGTTCGTGATCATATCACTTGTCCGGTCATTACCAGACTCCCAGATTGATTACGAACCCACCGGGAGATGGTTACGGGAGAACTTGGGCTTTGTCACTGACGAACATCAGATGAATGTTGCGTTGACTAGAGCGAAACAAGGACTGTGTATTATTGGTGAGTGGGATAAGAAAAACATCTTCTTTTAAAGGAGCTTGGGTTACGTAATATGTGTGGACAATATGATGTGGCAAGGAACGGATTTGCTTTGCTGATTAAAACTAACGAACACGTTCAGCTGATTGTAGTCTTTGTGAAATTTTCGAACCATAGACCTTGGAGAAGTAGTGTGATTGTTAGAAGTTCCTGTCTTTTATCCTCCCTTCCCTGTTCTTGTTCCTTTCGCGAGTCGTGTAAAAGCATCTAAACATCGTGATTGAACCGACCTTACTGGGCTCTATTAAAAAAAAAAATATCTGGACACGAAAAAATAAAAATATAATACCACAAATTTTGCGATTGTGTATCATTTCAACTTGACGAGTTGTAACCCAGTGACAGTTGTCTATCACATATGGACTTAAGTAGTTCACTGGTCACAAAGATTTTTTTACATTTCTCTCATTTTTTTTCGTATTTCTCAGGTAACAAAAACTTACTAGAGGTCTGTGATTTGTGGAGCTCTCTCATTGAGCATTACCAAAGCAAATCATGCTTTGTGGATGGCTGTGACTGGCCCTGAGCTGAACGTATGTGAAGTGTAATTTCCTTTATACATCAAGCTTGAGATGGTTGTTGTCAAAGATTGGTTTACATCACCCGGAAAAATGTCAACTACAAAATCGTATATAGTTAATAGCTTTAAAAATGTCTCAGGTAAATTAATGTTATATAGTGCATGAATAAATCCAGTTTGAGCTAGTATTTGAAATACCTCAAAGAAATTTAAAGGATTTAACAAAAGGATTTATCTCATATTCATAATCATTTAACAATACTTTTAGTTTTTATCTCATATTCATATTACAATATTTTTAGCTAAGATAGTTATCACGAAGTGTCGTGTTTTCTTACCTGTAGATACAAAATTTAACACTTAAGATATTAGATTTAGCACTAGGAAAATGTGTAACAAATTTCTGGAGAATTAAATCATGGAATAGCCCTGGCAATAAATTTGTGTGAGTTCCTCTATTTCATAAAGAGAAATTCAACAATCCTTTGAGTTGGCTACGATGAAAATATGTCATTACCGATCTTTCTGAATATTTATATGTGATATTCGGAAAAAAATGAACCATAACAAGTACGATATTTTCACCAAGTGAAGTTCAATGAAAAGGTAAAATGTTACGTGTCATCCTTTCTTAAATAAAAAGTCTAGTGTTGTCTAGTTGAATAAATTGTCGGGTCTATCAGTTTTGTGTGGTTGGCTAAACTCTGCCACTATAAGGGATACATAGTGTTCAACATCAAACTCTAGTCAGACATGGTTTGATGCTACTCTGGTTTGCAGATTTAATGAATGTAACCGAAG